ATTCTAATGAGTTTACCTTTAAAAATGTTTTTTCTCTGACAGCTTTTATGGTTCTGTCTTTATATTGAACTTCTGAGATTTTTAAACTAATATTATGCAGAGACTCCTTTCTCATTGTAGTTATTTGGTGTTTTATAAGCTTTGCATACCAGTATGTTGCATTCGTTCCCTGTCCTGAAAAGTACTCTGCTGCATTTTTGTGTAAACAAATATTAAAATTCCATTTATTCCGTTCTCTTAATTTCTTTTTTTAAAAATGTATTTGGTTGATACAGGATCTCACTGTGCAGCTCAGGCTTATGGTGATCCTCCTGCCTTCAGCCTCCTCAGTGCTGGGCTTACAGGCATATGCCACCATGCGTGGACTCTGGTTGGCTCAGCCTGCCCTGGGGATGGGGCTGACACATCATGTGGTGCTAGGGATCAAGTCGTAGTCCCTATGCTTGTCTAAGCTTGCCTAAGCAGGCGCTTTAGTCCTCTGAGCTATCTCGCAAGCCCCGTTCTCTAATTTCTTAGTCCAGTTAGCTTTTGGATAGACATTTTACTGTCATCTAGTAGCTGTGGATGTATTACTTGGTGTTAGTATTTTTAAGGTTTCTCTGATTATGCCATTATGTGGTTCCATTTTATTCTCAAATTCTGAAATCCTGTCTTTACATTGGTTGTTTATTGTCATTATGAATTCCATAGAATTCTTTGTCTCTGGGATTTCTGTTTTATGTTTTTTGGAGTTTGTCTCTTTGGTAAAGTTATCATTTATATTTTAAAATATTTTGGCCTGCTCTTCCAATTTTTTGTTTATTGTATTAATACATTGGCTGGTTTGATTTTTTTTTTTCACTCTTTTTGAATTGTGTTATCTTTGAGTTTACCAAATTTGTTTTTTCTTTTCTTTTTTAGTACTAGGGACCAGACTCTGGACCTTGTGCTTGTCAGCAGAAGCTTATGCCACTGAACTATGTTCCAAGCCCTGAACTTAACCAAATTTCTTTGCATACTCTGTCATCATTTCATATAACTGAGCTATCTGTTGTTTGCTTTCCTCTCTATTGGATCTCTTGGGCCTACTTTGGGAAAATTAGGGAGTCTTTAAAGGAGTTTTGCTGTCTTGCTTCCCTCCCTTGCTCCCTCCCTCCTGACTCTTTCTTTCTCTTTCTGAAGGTTGAGGTGATACAGAATAAGCTGAATTTATGTTGTTATGAAGGTTTTAGTTATGTTTTTAGTATTATATTCTTGACTTCATGTTTCAAGAAGTATTGTTTACCATTGCATCCTGTTCATTCATTTGTGTTGGACCCTTATTGACTTCCTTAGTTCCTGTGAAGATGGTTTGGTGTGTGAATAACCGTTTACCTAGGTATGCAGATAATAGTGTGACTTAAAACAGTAATTGAAAATCTTCAACACAGAAAAGCTGGGGAACAGATGGCTTTATAAGGGGCTTCAGACCCCAGATATCACTGGAGCCAACAGCCAGAGAGCCTGGATGAAATGTTCACAGCTGTGAGCCTTGGGAGTTCTGAATGTCCCTCACTGGTGTTTTAACTTGTAATTCCTTAATAATGCATGATGTTGAACATTTTTATGCTTATTTGCCATTGGTACATTTATTTTGGTGAGGTATTTGTTCATATCTTTTGTACATGTTTTCATTAGGCTGGTTTTGTTGTTATTGTTCAGTTTCAATAGTTCTTTATCCAAAATGTCTTTTGCAATGTTTTCCTCTAGCTTATGGCATTACCTTTTCTTTTTAGCAATATTTTTCATAGATCGTAAGTTTCTAATTTTAATAAAGTGTAACTTACCAACTTTTACCTAAATGGGTAAAAGTTTACTTATTTTACTTACTTTTTTTCTTTTTCTTTTTCTTTTTTTTTTGTGGTACAGGGGGTTGAACTCGGGACCTTGCGCTTGCCAGGCAGGTACTCATGCCGCTGAGCTATCTCCACAGTGGGTTATGCTTTTAGAGTTATGTCCAAAACTCATTACCAAACCCAAGATCACCTAGATGTTTTCTTCTAAGTATTGTCATTTAGAAGTTTTATGGTTTTGAATTTTAGTTCTAGGAGTGTGTCTATTTTGAGTTAATTTTTGAGTAAGGTGTAAGTCTGTTTCTGTGGTCATTTGCAATTGGAGATCTCTTCCAGCACCATTTGTTGTCAAGATAGTTGTTTGTCTTTTGTCTCTTCCTGTGAACTTCAGAGTAAGTTTGCTTTGACTTTTGTTAGGAATGTAGTGTCTATATATAACCTTGAGAAGAATCAACATCTCAATAATATTCAGTCTCCCAACCCATAATGTGTATTTTCCCATTTATTTATGCTTCTACACTTGATCTTAGCCAAAAGGCCGAGAAGCGATTATTTATGCTTCTTTAATTTTTTTTTAAAATTAATTTAAGACAGGGTCTACAGGTTGTACAGGGTCTCACTACATAGATTAGACTCACAATGATCCTCTTGTTTTCACCCTTCCAAGTGCTGGGATTACAGGCGTGCACCACCATGCCCAGTCTCAATTGACCTCTCAGTGTGCCCCGGAGGTTGGCCCAGCACAGCAGGCCGGGAGTCAAACCCCCGCCTCTGAGCTCTGCCTTTAGTCTGCTGAGCTGTCTGGCCAGCCCTTTGATTTCTTTCATATACACTTTACATTTTTTCTCTTTAGTCTGCTTTAGTCTGCTGAGCTGTCTGGCCAGCCCTTTGATTTCTTTCATATACATTTTACAGTTTTTCTATGTACAGATTCTATATATTTTTTTGTGATACTGTAAGTTTTTGATTTAAAATCTAGTAATTTCTGATACAAGTAAAACAGTTGGTTTTTGTATAACTTTTGTGTTTTGAAACCTAGCTTTTTCTAGTTTTTATTTTTGATATTTTTACATAAGCATGTCACCAAAAATGACAGTTTTTTACTCTTTTTTTCAATTTGGATACCATTTTTTCTTTATGTTATTTTACTAACTAGAATTTCAAGTGGGATGCTGAATAGGAGTTAGAGAAGATATCTCTGCCTTGTTCATTTTATTACTATTAAATGAGAAGTCAGTCTTAAGTCTTTTGTTATTTTTTATCAAGTTGAGAATGTTTTCCACTATACCTAGTTTGCTAAGAGGTTTTTTTTTTAGTTTTTAATTAAGAATGGATTATGTTAGATGTTTCCTGCATCAATTGATGCACTCATAATGATTTTTCTTGCTTTAACCCTGTAGATGTGATTCTGTTCCTCGCTTCTCTCTCCCGTTTTTTTAAAAACTTGCTTTTCTCATACATATGTTCTTTGTTCCATACAAAAGTGGAAAGAAATGATATGTGAAATATAAAGAAAATAAAAGTGCGGCCGGGGAGATGGCTCAGTGGAATAAGCGCTTCCCTGGCAAGTGCAAGGGCCTGAGTTCAATCCCTGGTTCCACCAAAAAAAAAAAAAAGGAAAGAAAAGAAAAGAAAAGAAAAGGAAGAGATTGGGTAAGAAGAAAAAGCCCTGAGTATCTGAAATAAATCTCTCTGGTTTATGGTATTTAATGAGATACATTGTTAGATTCAATTCCTAATACTTTGTTGAGGATCTGTGTATGTATGTTCATGAGCAGTATTAAATTATAGATTTGCTTTTTTCTGTTTTTTTTTTTTTTTTCTAGTTTTAGTGTTAGTAAACCTGATATTTAAACTTTTTTGGTTCTTTGTTTTTTTCCATGTATATTCCTGTCATTTTAATTGTGTGAAATGATACACAATCTGTATTGTATTTATTCACTTAAATTGTTTATCTCTGACATCTTTTCAGTTTGTAATAAAGCTGTTGGTATTGCTTCATAAATCTTACATGATTTTCATTTAAATACTTATATTTAAAATCATTGAATTTTAAAATGAGAAATGTTCTTTAAACAGCTCAATTTATGAAAGGACTATTATACTGAGGATTATTTAGATTTCTTCTCTGGGATTCTAGTTGTATGAAGAATGATGAAAAAATCATTTTCCTTTAGCTAAAAATATATGTCACAGTATACTTTGTGCTTACATGGGAGCTTTGGAAAGAATAGGGTGGCCAGCCACGTGGCTTATCAGTGTTGAGATGGTCACAGAACAAGCCTTGCTGGCAGTAGGGGCATACGTTTTTTTCTCACCCAACTCTTTTTTTTTTATCTTTCACATATTATTTCTACCTTTATATGAAACAGATAATACAGTTTAATAATGATTTATTTAAGTAATACACTTAAAAACAAGTAAATTTAAGAAAGCTTGCAAATTTCTGTCTTTAAGAACATTATATTTTTAATTGAAAATCATGTATTTGTGGGATACAATTTATAATTCAAAACATTTATAGTGTAATTAATTGATCAGAATAAATGTCATACCTATCACCTTAGACATTTTTTTTGTGTTGGGATCATTCAAAATTCTCTGTACTAGCTTTTTTTTTTTTAGGACAGGGTGTACAGGGTGTACAGGGTCTCATTGTGTAGATCGGACTCATAGTGATCTTCCTGTTTACAGCTTCCCAAGTGCTGGGATTACAGATGCGCAACACCACGCCCAGTCTCAATTGCTTCTTGGCGTCTCAGCGCGCCCCAGGGGTGGGACCTGCACAGCAGGCCAGGGAATCAAACTCCTGGCCCCTGACTCTGTCTAAGTAGGCACTTTAATCCGCTAAGCTCTTTGGCCGGCCCTGTACCAACTATTTTTAAATAATTAATTTTTGTCAACTGTGGCTATCTTGCTGTGACAGCATTATAAGTTACTCATCCTCTCTAGCTACAGCTCTACATATAAGCATTCTCTCCATCTTTTTCCCAATTTTCTTTCCTCATCCTTGTGTTTGTTATTAAAATATTTTGCAGCCTAACATAGGTTTTGACTGGGAAGGTGATGGCAACAGAGAGGAAATTATGGGATTTAGTAAATTAAAGAGTATAGTAGATTAATTATGAGATTTTTTTTCCTTAGAAAAAAGTGGCAAACTATCATGTTTGTATGTCTACTATTTCCTAGGCAGAGAATCCCCCTAATGGACCAGAATGTGGCTATGGCTCCTTTCACCAGCAGTACTGGCTTGATGGAAAGATTATTGCTGTGGGGGTGATTGACATCCTTCCATACTGCGTTTCTTCTGTCTATTTGTACTATGACCCTGATTATTCATTTCTGTCCTTGGGTGTCTACTCTGCATTACGGTAAGACAACATTTTGCATTTGATAAAATGGGTTAATAGAACTTCAAATAATTGCTCATTTGATTATATTTTATTATGTAATAACAGAAACCCTATTTGACAGTATATTATAATTTATTGCTATTGCAGTCCTCCAGATATATA